CGAAATCATCTCTTTTGTTCCCAGATCTCTCCGCCGCACCCCCCCCCCCAAACTCCCTCCCTCTCTATCCCTTCTTCTTCTTCCCCGTCTGCTCAACTAAACCCCACCACAAATGCAGCAACAAGAAACCCAGCAAAGCCTAATTCTCATTGTTTTTTTCCCAATCCTTCTCTTTTTTTTGTTTAGCTACAAATCAACCCAGCAAAAGTAGAATGGTTATGAAGAATATGACCCAAAGGAGGTAGATGGGTTCTTTAGCAATTGAAAATTTATAAAATCAATTGCAATAATTTGAGAGAAAAACAACAATATGATTCAATTTGATTGAAAAATAAAAGTTGGAAGAGAAATAGGAGGGTAGAATAGAGAGAGAAGAAGAAAAATTGCAAGAAAAATAGGATGAGGGCGGAACAGGGAGGAGGAAGAAGAATCTCATATTCAAAAGTAGAGGAAGAACCTTGGATTCAGAGGAGAGAGCAAGCGATGTGAGAGGAGTAGAGCAAGCGGCAAGAGGAACTCTTTGTAATTTGAAGCACTTTGCTTCTCCCATTCGAGTTTCGTCAGTCCATTGCGATTGTCCTCTTAAACCGTTCGCGGTGATCAGAGAAGGAGGAGGAGGATGAGAAGTTGTAGGAGGGCGGAACAAAGGAGGAGGAGGAGTTGCAGGAGGGTGGAACAGAGAATGAGAAAAACCTGGGATTCAAATTAGAGGGCAAGCGATGCGGGATGGAGAGAGCGAGAGAGGCGTGTTTCTACCCGACTAAATAATATCAAAGTTTTGGGCAGTATAACTAAGGGGGTATCAACCGGATAAAGGAGGTGGGGTCGGATTATTTAATCCGGTGGTTATTTAATCCAAACGAACACCAAACACCCTACTTCGTATTATTAGTACTATCTAGTGCCTTATCCAGTGTGCTAAACAGGGCCATATGCTATAGGTTTTAGCGTTTCATGATAAGACCACTCGTTTAAAAAATAAAAATAAATAAATAAACCTTAAAAAACTAGTAGTTATGGACTTGAAAGTAATATCATCGAGGAAAATTACTTATTTGCAACTATATAATATTTATCTTTGTATGTTTTTCTAATCACTTGTGTGGATAATTTGTTATGTTTTACAAAATGGCCATAGATGCAATTAATGTCAGTAAGATTTCTTTCTATTTTTATTATCTTTTTGGCAAACTTATAGATGTTAAAGCATAAGATACTTCACTCATATATATATGCCAAAAATTAGGGTTTCTTGATCAAAGTATTGTCTAAATAAACGAGTTTATTTTTAAAGGAATCATCTTTGAGAAGAAGAGAACTTCGAAAACCATGTTTTTTGGAAGACTTCAAAGGATTAAACTAGGGTTGATACGTCATTCCATATGAGAAGAATGTAATTTACTTATAACCGTTATAATATCTTTTGTTGGGTACATCCATGTCTCACGTATTACAAAATCACGTTATGTAGTATATTACATGATGAGATATTCACGAAGAGAAGTATATATACTGAACTCACTGAAGTTGAAATGTTAGCCAAGATATTTTAATCTACGTATTTATTTACTAGAAAACTTCATTTTAATCCCTAAATAAGATTGCTTTTTCAATAATACCGTATGTAAGATTAAAAACTAAAAATAGTCCTCCATGTCAGATTATAGTATTTCATGTCACATTTAATCATTTTTTTTAATAAATTTATTGCATTTTTAGTTTCCCTATTTACCCTTATTACTCTTTAAAACCAATTAGAGAAACAAATATATAATTAATTTTTCAAGAATGCTTAATTAACTAGATCCATAATTAACATGTTTGTTATAACATAAATCTCCATGTGTTATTCCAATCAAAGAACCCAGAAAACTCAGAAACCATGATCAAACAAAAAAAGCCATAAAACTTACAAACCAAAAATCTTGTTGTATTCGGAAGAAAGGAGAAAAAAGGGGCTTTTAGATGCCAAATTGAAGGTGAATCCAGAGATAAATGAAAAAAATACAAATTGAGAAAATAGAATGTGAAATCACAACTTAATTGACCGTACCAAATTAATCGGACATACACTGTATAGTACCTAACCGACCATACCGAATGGATAAGACCTAATTGATAGTACCTAAATGATTAAGGTACATTCATATAGGTACTATGATTTAGGTGCATTCATATAGGTACCATGATTTAGGTGCATTCATATAGGTACCATGGTTTAGGTGCATTCATATAAGTACCATGGTTTAGGTGCATTTGACTTGGTACTATGATTTATGTGCATTCGACTAGGTTATATGATTTAAGCACATTAGGACATGGTTTAAGTGCATTCGATTATGTAAAATATATGATTTGGCTATTTATATTTCCTCTATGCTTTGAATGGTGATAATGAATAATTTGAATTAGGTATTTGTTAATTCTTGTAACGTATCACTAATATTTTTTTGAATTATGTTTATCATTTTAGAAAGTCAAACAATAATCAATGCCAAAAAATATGGAGCAAATTACAATCAAATATTTAATAGGGGCATTATAGGAACCCAAAAAACGCATTAAATATTTCAAAACAAGAAAATATAAATTTTAATATTTATGCTGACATGGAAATTTAGTCAAAGGACTATAATGAATATATAATCTAACATAAGGTTTTAATTGAATTTCAATCTTTATCAAGGATTAAAATGGAGAAACCCCTTTATTTACTCCCGAAATATTGCAATGACAAAGATTGACGAGCTAACACAAACAAGCACATATATAGCGTGGAATAATAATACCAGACATTATGTAAATTTATGCAATGTGGTAAAAGCTTAAGTCCTTGATAAAATGCGATCGTCATTTCGAAGTGACAAGGGAAAGTCATGTTTAACATTCTTAATGTCAATACCCAACCATTAAGAAGGTTAAGGTCCCCCATATAACACGCTGACCACAGTGGTAGGCGGAGCAGTTGATCCAAAAGCCAAACAACCTTGTACCTGAGCACCAAAAACATGAATACATAAGAAAAAAGTCCTCCAACCATACTTTACGATATCCTTTTTCGGCTTCACACTACAAACAATAGGAGGAGAGAGGAATAGGCTATAGTAACTAGCAAATTGATTCATAATATATTTTCCAAGCACACTTTGAGTTTGTGAAGAGAGAGAAGAAATATAAATTGAAGGAATTTTAACAACTTAATACAAGAAGCATGATGAAAGAATATAGGGCTCCTTTGTAGAAAAGTAATTTTTTAATGTACTTGGAATATCGTTACAACGAAACGTGATATGTTATTACTATTTTATTCAAATTATAACACTTGAATTTATAAATTAGGTTCACATCCTTCTTTATGTTACTCCATTGATTAAAATCCTATTCATTTTCAATTTTTGATCAAGGTCCTTGGGTATTAATAACATCATTAATTATTTGAATAATATTTTTTTTTAAATATATTCCTTTAGTGTTAAATGTTAGAATTAGTATATTTATATTTATGGCTAAATTTTTTATCATATATTTTTATTTTTAGTTTGTACCTATTTTTAATTTGTACCAATTTTTTTTCATTTTTAATTTGTACCCATATATTAGTTTCTTTTTGTGCCCATATTTTTTAAAGTTTTATTTGTGTTTGTACCCATGTGTAAACCGCCATGTGACATTGTATATTTAATCAATGATAGAGAAATTACATATGGTATATTTATGTTTTATGCCAAAACTTTGTATATATTTATATTTTTAGTTTGTACCCATTTTTAATTTGCAACAATTTTTTTTAAATTTGTAGTATTTTATTTTTAGTTTTTTTTTTGTACCCATGTATTAATTTCTTTTAGCGCCTATATTTTTAAAAAATTCATTTGTACTCATAATTTTTTAATCTTTTATCTGTACCCTAATTTATTTATATTGTGCCCATTCTTCTTTATTAATGTACCACTTTGTTATATGTGAAATATACCCATTTTTTTGTAAAATGTACCAATTTTTTTAACACTATGGATACATTCTTTTGCCATTTATTATTTCTTATTTTTACATAGTTTTTGTCCATTTATTCAATCAAAATGTTTGAATTTTTTTATTGTAACCGTTTCTAATAGTATTATAATAAGGGATTTTAAATTTATAGGATTATAAATCTCATAAAATATCAAACAATTAATATCAAAACTATAAAAATATAACTATTAATTGTAATATAATGAGGTGTACAAAGTCAAGGGACTTTGATCAAACTTTGAATACCATTAAGGTTTTATTCAAAGAATGTTAAGGATTAGGAACCGCATCCAAAATATCCCAAATATAAATCCATATCCCACACAAACCATTGACCAAAAAAAATCCCACACAAATGAACAAAGCCAAAGTAAAGACGGTGTAATATTAATAAACTCATACATGAAGTGTTAATTATCACACTCTTCAAATAATAATTTTTACAAGTATTATAATCGAAATCGTTGTTTTCCTAGAACCAATGTAAATTTATAAGTATAGAACAATTCAATTATTTTAGTATCAATCAACTTTTTAATGACGAACAGTTTATTTGTTAATACATAAATGATTGCATTTGAAATAAGTTAATTACATCTTAATGGACAAAAAAGCACACTCATGAATTAAGTCGATGCAAGTATATTGTGCCTAAAATATTTACTTGTGAGATTAAATTGTATAACACATAACCCAAGTTTTGATTAAACATTCGACCAAAGAAAAAGAAAAAGTTTTTATTAAACAAGTTTAATTTGTACTCGAGAAGGAAAATGAGATTTCGTGTAAGAAACCTGGACCGGTATATCTGGTTTTAAGATTCATCCAATGTCAGTGGGGCAGCTTAACCTTTGAGCCGTCCTCATTCATTCACCTACAAATCTATGAATTTTTAACTGTTTCTAAAGAGAGAAATTTCCAAAGTTTCCAAAACTTGGAGAAGTTTTACGTTCCATATAAGTGACAAGTTATAACAACCCAACACCAACCCTCGTTTCCTAGCTAGTTTTTAAACCCCTCCATGCGACCCAATTTTCAAACTCATATGCTTTTGGGAGTTTAAGATCACTCAGACAAGTCATTTTTTTCATTCAGGACTAAAACAAACAGATGGTGAACCTAGTGGCACTTCAGCAACCCTTGCTGCATGGCCTTATGAAAATGGCCGGGGTCCGACCTTACGCGGTCCAGATCGAACCGTGCACGGTTATGAATTTCTGGGTCCCGAACGAGACCCTCAACAAACCCAAGAAGGGGGAAAAACCCGCTATGGTGTCGGGTCCAACAAAGCCCGTGGTGGTCCTCATCCATGGGTTCGCGGCCGAGGGGATAGTGACGTGGCAGTTCCAGGTTGGTGCTTTGACCAAAAAATACTCCGTCTATGTCCCCGACCTCCTCTTCTTCGGCGGCTCCTCCACCGACAACCCCGACCGGTCGCCGACGTTCCAGGCGGAGTGTGTGGCCGCGGGGTTGAGGAAGCTCGGGGTGGAGAGGTGCGCGGTGGTTGGGTTTAGTTACGGCGGGATGGTGGCGTTTAAGTTGGCCGAGCTGTACCCGGACCTGGTGGAGTCCATGGTAGTATCCGGATCGATCTTGGCCATGACTTGCTCAGTCAGCGATGCAACGATGGAGAGGCTCGGGTTTTCGTCGTCGTCGGAGCTTCTACTGCCAAGCTCGGTGAAGGGGCTCAAGGCTCTGCTGTCTGTTGCTGCTCATAAGAAGCTGTATTTTCCTGATCGGCTTCACAAGGACTTCCTTGAGGTATTGAATTTTTACTTATCGTTTTAAAAAATTAAAAAAAAAAAAAAAACTAAAAAATGAATAGGAACCCATACTCAAATTTTTTTTTTAAATTGTTCATTGTCAATTTATAGAATTTCGTGTTTATAATCAGAATGGTTCATATTATAAATCACCCTATAAAGATCGTCTCTACAAAATATTAATTAAAACTAAGATCGTTTAGTCATCAAATTATTTAAAAACAAATGAATGATATTGGTAAAAGCATTATGAACCGTTTATGTATTTTATATAATAGATTGACTAAACGACTTTAGTTTTAATTTATTTTTTGCAAAGATGATGTTACAGTGTGTGATTCATAATATGAATAGTTCTGATCATAAGCACAAAATTTTGTAATTAAAACATTAAAAAATTTGAGTAAGAATTCCTACTTATTTTTGAATAACCAAGTATTGTTCCTTAAAAAAATAGTTATCATCCGGATGCGATCTTTAGATTTAACGTTTTATCCTATGGTGGAAGAATCCCTGGTAGTCAGACCAAAAGATAAGGTAGTGGTCATGCCACTTAGAACATCTCCGACCGTTAGAGATAAAACTTAAAAATTTAAGTCAAAAATTTTTGAACCATAAGTCAGAAACCGTTTTTCTCTTCCAATCCTGTGTCTTAAATTTTTAACAAGTAATGATTAAATAATGATTTTAGCCTAATTTTTTGTTTTCGGTAACTTTTTTTTTTAAATAAAGTTTATGTAGATTATCTTAATTTATTTTTATGAACATTTTAGTCTAAAAATATTTAAATTCCGATAAATAATTAACAATCATACAAATACATAGGTATTTATAAAGTTTTAAGTTAAATTTGATTTAAATTATTTTAGACGTTAGATTTAATTTTGGGCTGTCAAATCTTTTTTTTTACTATTAGATTTAATCTCATTTGATCATAGCCAATAGATTATAAGTAAAAAACAAAAAAATGTTTGAACTATGACAATTTGGCGAGTCAAGAATAATTTATGCCAGACTTAAATCGTAGGGGAAATCTAGCCCAGAGATATATTTTCTTCCTATGACTTATTTTAGCACATGGTTGGAGATGGTTTGGGGGAGGTTTTAAAGTTTATATTGTAAGCTTTATCCCATGGGTTGGAGATAGTCTTAGTACTACAATCTAGTGATATTCCTCTTCACTTGTAAGTGAGAAGTCTTAGGTTCGGTTCTCGCCAAAGATGAATTTGAATCACATTATTGCTAGCCTATTGTGAGGCTAAGCCCACGCTCTTTCTCCTTACTGTAGATAATGTCAATTGGTTGAACTTACGAGATCATGATCATGATCTCTAAGTAGGGTTACAAAATGATTGGTTAACATTCAAGTCACCTTAGCAGAGAATTAGAGATTTAGTCAACATATCAAAATAATATTTCACGAGTTAGGATTGCAACTAGACTCTATACAATGATCAAGCCTTCAAGTAACATGGTACTCTTTAAATACAAGCTCGTTTGTAATGAAGAAGGACCTTCAACTCAACACATAAATCAACCATTTGCGCGAACTTTCTCATTCTTTTTTGAGAAAACCACTAATTGTTTACTAATTGTCAGCACAAATATTGTTAGCTAGGCAAATCTGGGTTAAAGGACAACATACGAGTATTGCCTGGTTAGACAAAGTTTTCCACAAGCAACTATCAAAGGCGACAGTTTGGCTAGACAGCGCCGGAGTTGTAGAATCAATTCAGTAAAGGAGTCTCAATTTCTTGGTTAAACGACGAGTTTCTCAAGTTCAACCAATTAACGGTCTTAAGTCTCCACCGACGAAGAGTATTTCATTCTCTCGGTGAACAAAGATCACTTCATTAGCTTTCTCAACGAAATGAAGTGTTTTATGATTGGATATTCTCAAGTCACGGGCAGAGACACTCATTTCCTTTGAGTATCTTTGTCTTTATAGTTTGGTACCAATTTTGCGGACCTATATTCTTGCCAATATTGGCAAGGCCGTTGAACCGGTGCAAAAGTCTAGAACTTCATAGCGATTTGCATAACCTTGCCTCCAGATTATAAAACTCAAGGCCGAGAGTGTTTCTTCTTCGAAATAAGTCTCTCAATTTAGAAGTCAGAAGCATTTCACCTCCTCCATTGCATTCAAGACATTCGCCTGACCGAGCTCGGTGGTGAGTTGGCACGTCCACATCAGCAATCAACCACCAAATGACATAGTTACCTCCTTAGTTACTTCGGCATGCACGCCACGTAGGATGTGTAATTTTCAGGGTCAACATTTTGGTATGCCCGATTAGATCAAGTGCTAAAAATTGCGAAGTTCAGATGATGTTTCAGTATCCCAATTCAACTTCAACCGACTGGACGAGATTCAACCTCAATTAGAGAAACACATTCAAAAGAATGAGGAACATTAAAAGGCAAAAGAGGTGAAAAAGATTATTGATGCACATGAAGGGATGAGAAAATCCTTCTCCCACATGTTAAAAGTAAATGCCCATATCACCTTCCAAGAGTAATGGGTAAAAAAAGATAGAGCCTAGTTTAATAATGGCTAGATGAGGACCACTTTCCTTTCGTTCTTGGATACAATTACAAGCATTGTTCTAAAAATTCCCACTTAAGCACTAGGTGGTAAGTGGTAGGTGGCTGGCCATTACCCCGATTAATCCCTAGGCATTTGAAAATTAGGAAATGGCACTTAGAACTGCTTAAGTGCCCGCCTAGCCCGTCCAGACCCGCCTAATCACACGCTTAGGTCGCGATTCTTACTTAGACGATGTTGATGTACAAAATCAGTGAGGACTTTGGTACAACAGAAAGTGTTAAGTTTGTGACCTTCGCTAGATTGCTTCGGTCACTAGTGTGGATAAGTATGCAAATGGATAGAGATAGGGAAGCAAACACAAAATGTACGTGATTCACCCAGATTGGCTACGTCCGCGGAGTAGAGGAGTTCTCATTAATTGTGAAGGGTTTACACAAGTACATATGTTCAAGCTCTCATTTAGTGAGTACTAGTGAATGATTTAGTACAAATGACATTAGGAAATATTGTGGGAGAATGATCTCCTTTTATAGAAGAGTTTCTAGCTTTATTCTGACATTGACACGTGTTGTGTTGTGATTGGTTTCTGATGTTGACACGTGTCGTGTTGTGATTGGCTTCTGATGTTGACACGTGTCGCGCTGTGATTGGCTTCTGATGTCGACACGTGTCGTACTGTGATTGGCCTCCTGGTTGGAGGGAAACTTTTCTGGGTCTTTGACGGTATAACGTTGACCAGTGCTCAGTAGTTTCGGGATTGGTCAAGTATGGTACAAACATATGAAAAATAGAAACTTTCATTTTGTATTTTTTTATCAATAAATTGTAAGAGACTTGTTGAATACTTAGATGAACACACATTATATGTTTGTTCCTCATGTTTTTATTAGTTCTAATACTTTATAATCTATATGTCATTCTAGTTTGAGTTTATGTACCCAATGAAATTATGTATTTTTAAGTATAAGTAGATACTTATTTATTCGATATACAAAAAAATTACTTAATTCTGTCTAGGCCCCCACCTAGCTGCATAGGCGCTAAGCCCTAACCTGCCACCCGACTAGCACCCAATGTCTTATAGAACCTTGGATACAAGTCAATTTCATTTAAAGTACGGTTAGTCTGAAAGGCCGAGGGTGCGGGAATTCTCACTCTGGCCCCAATCAAGCATCGCCCTATGAGGATTATCAATTTAGCCGAAGAAGAAGTTAGGGCACCTAATCATTTGGTTAAGTGTAAGAAGTTGGTTGGCCTAGAAGAAAAAGTTCAAGTTTCGGAGCCAAACATAAAAATTAATTAAGAAGATGATTTGTCAGAACAATGTTTCACTGACAAACAAGACCGAATGGCAAAGTGATTATGCTCAGGGCATAATAACTTGATTATTTGCTCGCCGAAAAACAAAAATGTTTGAGAAAATTTCTTTACGCAAGGAAAAGATCCGTCTCGGAATCAAACATCGCTAACATCCTTCCCTTGTGGTTATGCATTTCTTTTAATTTTTGCACAAAAAAATAAAAATAATGGCATGCATGGTAAACGTAAAGGATTGTTCATATTTGTTTAGAAGCATCAGCAATTAAAGTAGGTGGAGAATTTGAAAAGTGGTGTGGCTGCATACGTGTTGTAGTAGAAGGATGATACCTCGTGGAGATGGTATTTGCTGAGCATATATAATATTTTCTTAACAGTTGAATCAGTTTCGATGTTCAGATATGCTACGGTGCCGAATTAAAATTAGCGTGCCTCACTTTTTCGTCAGAAGTTCATCAGAGGTGCTACATATATGATATATAATACATTATATAATAATATATATATATATATATATATATATGTGTGTGTGTGTGTGTGTGAATGTTGATTATCCAAGTGGTTTGTAACACATTAGGAAGAAAATATCATCAATAACACTATGCGGTTTAGGAAGCAAATTCTTTGAACCATTTGCTGAAATATTTTGGTACATCCAAATTTGTAGGTGATGTTCACCCACAGGAAGGAAAGGGCAGAACTCCTTGAAGCTTTAGTCATTGATACCAAGGACCCAACCATCCCCAAATTCCCACAGGTTATTTTGGCCAATTTTAGTTTGTTTATGTATTAATTCTTAATTAAATCTTTCTCTTTGATTAATTTTATTCCAATTATTCTATTAATTTTTATGTCTCTTTCATATGTTTGCAGAGAATACATCTGTTATGGGGTGAAAATGATCAGATATTCAACCAGGAGCTTGCCCACAACATGAAAGAGTAGGTTTAATTACATTGACAATAATATTTATCTGCTAATTAATTAAAATTAACTTATTGGAGAAAAATTATTTTTATTGACGGATGTTAAACTTATGCCAAAATATGAATTATTTATTGACGTAAACTGTATTTCCTATTGATTTGGTAAGGTGTTTATTTATATGCAGGCAATTAGGAGAAAATGCAACATTTGAAGGCATAAAGAAGGCAGGCCACTTGGTTCATTTGGAACGGCCCTGTGTTTACAACAGGTGTCTCAAGCGATTTCTTGCTTCCCTGCAGCACGAAGAATATGGAGCCCCAAAAAAGGGACAATGATTTCTCACTCCTACTTGCTTCCCTGCAGCATGAAGAAAATGGAGCCCAGAAAAAAGAGAGTGATTTCTCACTCCTACTATATATTTTTATTAGTTTATCTACTATTTTCTGCATGAATCAATTCACTGCTTAGTGTACAAGTAATGTGGAAGGCTATCTTAGTGTTGAGTTCTGCCATCTGGTTAAACTTATGATACAATTTGAATATATTTTCTTATGGGCCACTTCATACTTACCACTAGAATTAGTCGATCAGGTGAAATATATATATATATATATATATATCCATTTAAGGGAACTTTCACTTGAGAAGTTTGTCCGCCATTTTTTTGTTTGGTAATCATTTCGTTATTAGTTAAATATTAACATGTAAGAAAAATACATGGAAAAAACAAAAAAACCTTTCAAGAGGATTTACCGATAGGGCATTTTCTGTCACTACAATATCGGGATTTTGCCCTCCATTATAAATGAACAGTATAATGTTCGACTCACATTGATGATTAAGCCCCAGTTTGGGGTTGAGGTGATTTTAAAAAAGCTCCTATGAAAAAAAGCTGGGAGTGTTTTTGGTGTTTGGTAAACTTAAAAAAAAGGGCTTATTTTGGAAGCTGCTGTCAGAATAAGCTGAAATCAAAGGAAAAAGCTGAAGCTGCAATTTGTAGCTTTGGAAAACTGGCTTTTTTTCAAAGCACACAGAACTACAGTGCTCATTTGATGAAAAGATCCACTATCAGACTGCTTTTTTTTTCAAAAGCACTTTTACAAAAAAGTTTACCAAACACTCTGCTGATTTATTTCACAGCCGCTTATTCTCACAGCACAGCCGCTTATTCTCACAGCAGCTTTTTTTCAAAGCACAGCAATACCAAACCAGCCCTAAGTTAATTATCAATTAGGCCTTAGTAGTCCATTACTGTTTTAGAGGTGAACACCCAGTTCCCAAGATAGGTCCAAGCTCAATACTTTTTTTTAGTACAACGATATATTTCACACTAAGAGAATGGGAAATTCAGCTAAGCCACACAATGGACAAATTCGCCATCCACGAGATTTGAACCTCAAACCTCTCACTTACAATTGAAGAGGAATACCATCAGACCGTAGTATTGAATGACATCCAAACTCAATATTATATCAACAATATCTGTGAAAGATCAGTAACATATCAACAACAACCACTTGATTTAGAATTTGACACACATTGTAGTCTCCTCAGCTAGATTAATCCAACGGTCATACACTTTTCCTCCATTCAAACCCCACTCATTGTATTAGGGATGGGCAAATGGGTAAAGGAATTGCGGGTCGGGGTGGGTAATATAGGTTCGGGGTAGGTATGGGCCGATTCCAAATGTTTTAGAAAGTAAATGGGGCGGGGCTGGGCGAGCCGAGTCCTAAACCCTAGAAAAACGGGGCCCCGGACCAACCCGTTTCTAATTATGATTAACGGTCGAGATTGAATGATAACCTATCATCCAATATGAACCATTAGTTTCTACCCTAGTCATCTCGAGTCTAGGTTTTTAGAATTAGTCTCACTCCTACCTCTCCACCATCCGTCACTCCCTCGACTCCATCGACTCCGACAACATCCCAGAAAACCCAGCCTATCATCGCCGCGATGACCAACACAATGACACCACCCATCCAGCCATCCTCCTTGACGACATCCCAGGACCCAGATAACCCAGGTCCCAGAACCTTGATTCTCTCTTCTTCGACAACACCACTACCATTACGACCACTATCACCCCATCACTGCCATCGAGGACACTGTTACCAGCCTAGATTATTTTACTTGGCCAGCTATTGTAAGTCTTATTCTCCAAAAATTGAACTATTATCAGTTTATTTAGGTTGTATGTCGAGTGAAGAGGGCTACCCAGTTGAGGAATATGCTCTAATTAGGGTTTTTTGTGCTTTTCTGCAAGCTTAATTAGTTTGTTATTGTATCGGTTTGGTTTTTTGGATCTGAAATTTTGAATTTCTTTCTTTGGTTAATTTCATTGAGTAAATATTTCAGCTTTGCAATTTCTGTTGTTTAGGATTTTGTTATTTTACTTTAATCTTGGTATTTGGAAGTGTTAAATGAAAGTGGAAATGCATAGGTGCCTCAGATTTCTGTATTATCCTTTTGAAATTAGGATTCTCTTATTCTTTTTTGATGCATGTGGAAATGTGAGTTTGATGTGATGCTTCATTTTTCTGCAAATAGATTGGGAAAACTGTAAAATTTGCACACTGCACTAGTAGTGAATTTGTGCAAATTTTAGGTGTTTTTTTCCACACAAAAGAAAAAAACCCCAGAGGACTAGTGGACCCGGCCCGAACCGACCCATTTTAACCGGGCCGGGTTAGGTCCGGTTCCAATATTAAAAAATGTTGTCCCCAGCCCTACATTGTACAACTTTAAAAATTCCTAACCCACTCTATAATAGCAGGCCTAGACCGGGTCAAAGCTTATTGGACAGAAAAGCCCAATATATCAAAATGGACCAGGGGCCCTACACTTACCCGCCAACGCGCGGTACGAAACCCAGGTTTTTGCTAAAGTCGTTTCTTAGAACAGCTGCGCAGAGCGTCACCGATTCACCGGCACCGCTATCATCGCCGCCGTAATAGCTAAGCGATCGAAACCTCAAATACAAACGCAAGTTTCCCAAAACCCCTCCATCTCCTCCAAAATTTCATTCCGGCCCCGCAAAATCATAAAAATCTCCAAGACCACCATCGCCGCCAAGCCCTCTCTCTCCTCCTCCTCCTCCTCCTCCTCCTCCTCCTCATTCCCCGCGCTCCCCAAATCCTGATCCCACTAACCTCCCAAACCGAAATCAACCTCGCCCTTCAACACTTACGGAGCTCCGACCCGCTTCTAACGGCCCTGATCGACTCTATAGCCCGCCGTCCTTCGATCCCAACCGTCCACCATTCATATCCCTCGCAAGAAGCATTATTTACCAGCAGCTCGCCACCAAAGCCGCTCAATCGATCTACACGCGGTTCGTTTCGCTCTGCGGCGGCGGCCTCGGTGGTCGCCGACGTCGTTTTGTCGCTCTCTGCCCAGAAGCTCCGGACAATCGGCGTCTCGGGCTGAAAAGCTTCGTATCTTCACGACCTGGCCGAGAAGTATAGCGATGGGACTTTGGCCGATTCGTCAATTCACGAAATGGACGACGAGGCTCTGCTCACAATGCTGACTCTGATGAAGGGAATTTGGGTTTGGTCGGTCCACATGTTCATGATTTTCTAGCTTCGCCGGCCGGACGTGCTGCCGGTCGGCGATCTCGGCGATCTCGGCGCGAGGAAAGGAATGAAGTTGTTGTATGGGTTGAAGGAGTTGCCGAAACCGTTGGAGATGGAGGACCTGTGTGAGAAATGGAAACCTTATAGGTCTGTTGGGTCTTGGTACATGTGGAGGTACATGGAGGCCAAGGGGGTCTTGTAGCAGCAATTGAGGAGGCTTTGCTCATATGGTTTTCGAATTCCGGGTAATCGCCCTTTTCCTCTGAATTTCGTAATCTATTGCATTGTTATTGAATCACTTTGTAGTTTGTGTATATTTGTTGTAGGATTGAATTTCTGTTATAGTTCACTGGTTTCTTGGACTGAAAGTCTGAAACTTGAAATCATGTTGCTCTGTAATCTATTGGTTGTGTAATGAAAAGGTGATGTTTCAGTATTTGCTTGTGAAAGATTGAGATGGAAGATTTAGTTCTCTTTGGAAGTTGTCCAAATGTAGCATCACTTGGAGGTGTGATGTCATGTTTGATAATTGAATGACGAGTGACGACTAATGATTTGTTGGGATTTATTAGCATCATAAATGAAACACCACTTGTGGATTATGTCTATGTTTATGCTGCCGTGCCGATCTTAAGTTCTCATGCTACCATCTCAATCATATGGCCAATAAGGGGATCTTCAGTTCCTTGATTTGTTATGTTGATATAAACGTTTCTTTCTTTCTTTCTGGACTGGAGCTCTTGAGTCTTGAGATAGACCCCAATTATTTAGATTCCGTGTTGTGTGTAGTGCGCTTAATAGTTTTGAGTTGATTACATTATTCATTGTATAACTAAACTTTCTTTGGGTTTGAGCTATATACCTGCTGGTATCTTAGCTTCTAACCAAGAGTTTAGTGTAAGAGTTACTAGTTAGCTAGCACGTTTAGGTCTCAAGAGTAAATGGGTGTGGGAGGTGAAATGACCTTTAGTTATGCTCAGAGATGGTGTTCTCCAATAAAAAGGTATTCCGTACCATGTATATGTTTTATGTGTTCTCATGTACTTGCAATTTTGAATGATACCGCACAAACTAGATATTCAGTTTAGATTACTTATGAAAATTTGCTAGTACTTGAAGCGTTGGTGACCTAGTCTATACAGTATAAACTTTTTCAGTTAAGATACGTAGTCACTGTATGTTAACATCATCCTTTTGCTGCAGTAGCATGCTTGGTTAAGGTGAATAAAGGACTCTGTCGATCTTTTGTATTCAATTGGTACATTAAGCTTTGTTTGAAGTTGTTTCTTGCACTGTCCATTTCCCAAAAAGGACTCCGTAGCTTGCCCTTGATGGTTGATAGTGCTCTTAATCTTTTTGTATTGAGTATTGAATTGACTAGGATCAAGTGTATTTGAGTGCCACTACATAGAAAGCTAACCAAATCAAACGAATTACTGTCTGGTTGTTTCAGCCCAAGATTTGTAGTGTCAAAGCCGAATCAAATCTCTCCAACTGGTTCGGTTTGCCCTGTTTCTTGAGTACCTACAGGTACTCAGTGTCATTACATATTTGGACTAGTGGATTCAATCCAACAGTCTGCGGTTGCTCAATTTTAGCCGTTGGATCAAATCTAAACGGTCCAATATGTGTTAGCACTGAGTGCCTGTAGGTCCTCAACCAAAGTCCAAACTAACTACTAAGATATTATCATCGAACGTAAATGTATAATATGTTTGTGTTTAAGTACTTCTTGAGCACGTACACAGTCATGTTGCTTGTTTTTCTTCACAAACTTGTATTTAGAAACCATGCATGCATATGAATAAAATTGTGCAAGAATTGTAATTCTTTTTTGGGTTAAACTCTGTTTACTATCCTTATGTTTCATGGTTTTCAACATTTAGTACATCAAGTTTTTTTTTGAGTCATACCTAAAGTGTTAATTTTGGGACAGTCTCATACATCTGTTGGTCAAATTGTTAGTTCTCCCGTTAAGTGATGATGTGG